GACTCTATTAAGCGCTCGAGGACTATAAATAAAAAACTGAAACTTTCACTCCGAATCACGCATCGGCCCACAATAAGGAGCTGTGTTCTCATTGACCCCTGAAAGAACTCCACTGATTTTCAACTATATTCACTGATGGCTTAAGAATCACGGGGCGTGGTTTATTACCCTCATATTTGTTACCACGTGATTCGTCCTTGGACTTTTCTTTATCGGCCAATTTCGGGACTTCACAGATAAGTAGAGACTGACTCGCGACTCTTGAATTTGTAGAGATCTTTGTTTTTTTCCGTCTGATACATGTCTGCTTTCAAGGAACGTGTGTAGCTAGCTTTTCTTATCATTGCGCTTTATGTGCTGCGAGCACACAAGGCCGTCTCGAACTCTCATAAAGATACGTATCCCCTCTGGTGATATGTGCTAATTGGATGCGGATAATGCAACTGAGAGCTGCCGGTTTTAGCTCAGAGCCTTTTATCAAGTGAGTTTGTGAGCAAAATAGACTCACTTGCCCAGGAATACTACAATTGTTTACTTTAACTAATGTGAACAATGACAATTTGCATGTGTTCACAGTTTGTAATATACAAATTAACATGAGTTCGGTCGGTTTCTAGTTAAAAGCCCGAAAACTGCCCTTCCATTTATATCCCTCGTGACTTTGTTGCATGGGCGTTCTAACACTTTTACGTCATCAATGAAGTACTACATCAAGATGTCTCGGCGATTAGTGCTCCGTTCGCACATAAGCTGGAGGTGGGGTGACGTTAGGCGCTCGCTGGTCAAATGAAACGCATTCAATTTACCACCTGACCAGACTCTTCGAACGCCGGTTTGGCTGGGAACGAGATGACGTTGATTAAGATCGACGTATTATTGGTCCATCGAGCAATTAGCTTCCACCAAGCTGTCAGCTTAGAGGCGACCCGAATATAGAAAGTACTACCCTTTCAAAATAATAAAGTTCTCTCACACCTTCATTGCATTCAGCAACATGGCTATATCAGGCAATTGTTAAAATCTGCATAGAACACCCTACCGAAAAACCCAGTACTGCTTTTCGCTATCTGCATTATGTAACTGGAAATCTATCCAAAATAAAACCCGATTTTAGGTTTTCAGATATTAATCCTTCGTTTGCCATCTGGATTTAGAGTTTACAGAAAGAAATCCGGCAAGACTTGCAGCTACATAATCCAAATAGTGTAAACTTTTACTGGGTTTTTTGGGTCGGGTAGGCTACAAACTAAAACACCACGATAAAAGTAACACATATATCGCAGTTTTATTCAGTCAACAGCAAAATTAAAGCTCTTTTCCACTGGTCGTACGTGTGTCTCAAGCCCCCATTCCACCGGCGACCTCCACGTAGGTGCCTGTAATGTAGGAGCTGCCAGAGCTGCACAGATATCTGGCCACATCGGCCACTTCTTCAGGTTGCGCAAACCTCCTCATGGGACACGTAGCGAGCTGCTTTCAGCGCGTTCTTAGGAATAACATAAAGTAAGGGGTCGTGCGTTCCTCCCGGCAGCAGAGCGTTCACCCGGATGCTCGTTCCGGCCAGTTCTTGGGCCAGGGACTTGGTGAATGCTATGACACCGCTCTTAGAGGCTGCGTAGGTGGCGAGGTTAGCAAAACCGAACTTGCCCGCAATGCTTGCTATGTTTACCATAGCGGCCTGAGGTACTTTGCTTTCCAGCATGCCCTTGACGACGGCTTAATTGACTAGGATGGTCCCTTTTAGAAAAAAACAAATGGTTATGGTGAAAAAAAATTATACAAGAGGCGTAACTTTTCCGTGATGTTATTCAAATACGCCCAGACCACATTTACTGGGGCTAATACATTCACCGCCCTGGCAGCGTTGGAGAAGGGAAAACTGCGTTTGTTTTGTGCAGTGATTGATCAAGAAACTGTTCCATTTCCTTTGTTTATTGCAAAACATTTCAGGAGACGTTACTAATTTATTTGAAATGAAGATGAACAAAGGCCCATAGCTTCTACCGGTGGATACTAATGTGTTTAAAGTCGCTCTTACATTGGTAATTATAACTTATTTTTTATTTTTGTATCATAAGTTTTGTCATCAATAGCGATTATCTCAGCATTTACTCCGCCATTAAAGTTCCATAATTTTTATCTTTAAAAAAATATTGAAAGAAATCAATTTTAAGAATCATGCACAGAAAAATAATTTAGCCACAATATAATTCGCTCCTCTGCATTTTTTAGATTATGAAAAGCTGAGGTGTTGCGCGGACACGACAAATGATTATGGATAGTTGACATGTGTGAAGTTTCTCAGTTTTATTTCATTTTATTACATTTAGTGTCCCTTGAATCCTGTTTTACATTCAGGGGGAAGAAAACGTAAACATTCATGTTAAGTAACACAATAAAACTACAGTAAAATAGTTGTCAAGTTGTTACATTTCGAAGGTGGAAATGAGGGCATTTTGATTACTAAGATGACTATACTTGCTACGTTATAAATTTTGATGATGCAATAAAGGAGTGTGAGTGCCTTTTTCCAGCAATGACAAATTATAATATCTGCGATCGATTTGAAGAGCACTGATAAATTATTTGTTCCGGACGATAATCGCTCGCAATTATCAAGTTCATCTATACAAGTAATAAAGAATCGTGATCCCGCCGTGAGTCATTATACATCCTTTGAATACCTATGACGCTTCTATGCATCGATGAAATAAAAATCGTTGGATACGGCACGTAATATATATAACCTGCGGCTGTTGTTCGGTTTCACATAGATATTTAATGACTCGTTAGAACTTGGCAAACATAATAAGAATGTTTAAGGCGTATTCGTCAGACCGTGAAATTGTTGTCGTGTATAAGCCGATGTTTTCAGAGCTATTCCTGAACTCCACAATGCACATTAAAACAAGAAGTGCATGAGCAAATACCTCACCGTTCGACGTACGCTACAATATCGCGATGTACGCAAACAGAGAGGCCTTCAGTGGAGTACGAGAGCGCATACTAAAACGTTCTTGATGCCTTCCAGTAACTCTAAACGTTAAGCCAAAACCTTCATCTTTGGGATCATGACGAGCCTACCCGCGTCATTAAAGTACAGGCCAGTTCTTAAACGCTTTCATGAATTATTTTTTCAGGTTGTTAAAATAGTTATATGAAGTTTCACACTTGTTTAATGCATTTTTCAGCACAAGAAGCAATATTAGTACACAGTGCAAGTCTCCAATTATATATGGGAATCTCTCTCCTCTAATTCTGGACGTTTAGTAAGTTGGTTTAAGTTTTGTTTCGAATGTGAATCAACAGCAAAAATAATATTAATCGCGCATTAAACGGAACATTTTAAAGGCTTTAGTTAACTTGACTTTTCAAATGCGGCAAGCAGTATTTTGTGACCTTAGGAGAGTTTTCTCGTCATCAGATTATCTAAGTTTACGTAAGCTGATAACATATCGAAAACCTTTCAATAAATATTCCTCGTGTCTCAAGGATCCGACCTCTTTTTTGTAGGTATACGAAATACAACTAACCTTGAGGTTCACTCGCAGCTGTACGTCGTATTCGTCTTCCGTTGTGTCTACAACAGAGTGCCACTTGGCCACACCAGCGCAGGTAACCACGATACTCAGTGGAGTTCGGAATTGAGAGCCGACGTTGTTCATGAGGCTAGCGACAGAAGTGGAGTCGCCCACGTCCACATGAAGTGCAACGTGGTCTTTACCTGGTAATCAATGAGCGAGACGGTAAGAATGCATCTGAGTATAGTGCATGTGTGCCATTTCAAGATTTCCAGCAAACGGAAAACGGTTTTCAGGTGGTATATATATATATAAGTATATTTGGGAACTCTTATTTAACAAGCTCTGCACCATTATTCGAATACAGATTACGGTTTGGGATTTTGCACTAAATCCAATAAACCTCATATGAAAGAAATACTAATATTTAAAATGTAGATCTGTTAGAATTTGTATCTTGCGAATCTGCGTTCTGAAAACTTCCCTGAAAATGTATTGCAAAAGAGGATACTAAAATATAAAAACATCGTTACGAGTTTATTGATGGCACCGTTTTTAGAAAATATATTACTTTTGGCGCAAAATCTTCCAATTTTCGATTCGAAAACTCTGAAGCCCATTGTTAAATATCCGAGGCCAAATTTGTCTCTGTGTTCAAATGAATATAGAGTGGCACACCCCACGTTGTCACGGATGAAGCCATATTTTTGAAAATGTGCGGTCTTGTGCTAGGCCACGCTTCTTCGTTGTAGGTAACTTACTAGTTATAAAATCCGGAAGAGAATGGCAGATACAAAAGAAAGAAAGAACTACCAACCTAATAATCATAACACACGGCATGTTTTATAAAAATCTTGCATCACGATGAGGTTTACGTTAACTCATCGCTTTAAAGCTAGACCTAATGCTCAGTGCTCGGTTCGATTGCCATGAGAACTAAAATGAACGCCACGAAAACCCAGCCTCATAATCTGCGGACCCCCTGCTCGCACATTTAAAGACGGAGAAAGCACAATCGATGGCCAACGATGTTCCGAAACCCTGGTTCCCTCTCAAAGCCACCCCACAACAAGCCTCGATCCTATTGGAAAGACCAGTTTAAACTGGCAACCAGTTCAAACTTGGATATTGCTCCAGTTTGACCAGTTTGATACTGGTTGAACTGGTCACACTGGTTGACTGGTCATGGTGGTTGAACTGGTCATGGTGGTTTAACTGGTAACCAGTGGCTTATTGCCACTGGTTAAATTGGTTGAACTGGACAAACAAACTGGGCATACTGTGAAACTGTGCATACAGGTCTGACTGTGAAAATGTGTACACTGGTAATACTGTACCACTGCGTATACTGGTTCACTCCAAGCAGTTAAACCAGTTAAACTGGTAATATTGACAACACAGGTCGTAAACGGATAAAATTCACTTTTTTTCACACAAAATACACATACTTCAGACCACAAAAGTAAACATAAAAACATATTTACAATTTAAAAAAATTGTCACGATATTATTCATTATAGTCCCAGCCGGTCGGCGAAATTTTCCACATCTTCTGGAGTGTCGGGGTCCCGGTGGTGGATAACATAGTACCTCATGGCATCTGAAATAAGAATAAACATAAGAAATTAGAGCCATGGCAGATTTATTCGCACCCGTCTGTTCTAAAACGGTATGTATAACTAATGCCACGAATAAAAAATATGCACTATCATAAACAGTATGAGAGGGAATATGGAAGCATGCGCCAACCGTACATGTGGTGCCAGTCTAGCGGCAATTAAGTATAAACCGCATGTAAGCGATTTGGCGAGCGACGAGAGAAGCGACGACGATCCGCTTCGCTCTCGCTCGGTCACTCGCGCGCGACGAGACAAACCGCATGAAAGCGGATGCAGCAAGCGACCAAGGCGATGAGCGACGATTGCTAGAAATCCAAAAACCGAGCGCCGCGACGACCGACCATGGGAAATCTCCGTCGCTCGTCGCTGATTCTCGTCACTGTCACCGTCGTTCGCGTAATCGCTTAGATGCGGTTCAGCCTTTACGCAAAGCAACGCCCAGGAGCGAAAAGATCCTGTTGTTACCCCCCTTCCTGCCTCCCCAGTCTGTCGTCCGCTACGCAACTCGCAACCACTATGGTAGAATATCTCTGAAGCCGCATACACACTGGCGGTTGTATTACTAGCGTAGCTGTTCCAAATCGGGTTGCTGAAACGTTCAGTTTCACATGCACCTGATTATGAAAATGAATCCAAATGGTCGAGCCTGCTTACCTGGCTCGCTGGCGCGGAGGCAGAGGCAGCCATTGCCAGCGCCGCAATGAGGACGGAGCGAATTCCAAACACGCCGTTCTGGGACGCAGCCATTTCGCCCGCGAGCGAGTGGAACTCAGGTGGAGGACGTCGTCAGCCACAGGAACCATCGGCAGAGGCAGCACTCGAGGCTCCTTCTAACTATCTTATACAAACACAGCTTGAAGACAACTTGTAACCTCCCCAAGCAGAACAGCGGCCCCAAACAACAAAGATCCAACCGGCCCAACGTGCGCCCAACCTTCGCGCCAGATCCGTTTCTTTTTTTTTTTTTTTGGTTGCCGGAGCTGTCGTTGGCGCCGACTGGCGCTTCGAGCGGGCGCGAGGGCCGCGCTGATTGGCCCGCGCGCTTCCTGTCCTGGCACGTGAGCACCTCTCCCCTTGCAAGGCACCCAGGGCACCGGCGCATTCCAGGGGCCTGACTCATACTGCCACATTTTCCCGCGCTTCTCCAAAACCACATTAGAGGCTCCCTGCCTCGGCCTCGGGCACTTGCGCTGGAGCCTGGAAGCGGCTTCTCGGTGCAGGCCAGGGTGGATAAAGGCCGTGGTAAAAAGCGGGAAAATTATAAAGTCCAAGTGGGAACGATTGAAGTCATGGCGTTTTTTTCATTTTTCGGACCTTTTCTCCTCGAGAAAAGGGTGCACGTTACAATCAAGGGCACGTTATATTCGAATAAACTTGTCCCATCACCCACTTAAAGCATAGTGCAGCAGTTATTAACGTTTTTATCTCAAGTTTTGTAGAATTTAAACTGGTTTAACCTATTTTTGGGAAGAAAATATTTAAAAAAAAAACTTTAAGAATATCTAAGTATGTTGGCTCTTACTTTTTTTGGATTGATGACATGTTCTCTAGCTAAATAAATAAAGGTGACCTTTCGTGTGGGCATTAGTATGCCATGAATTCAGTTGCAAATGAATTAATTGTTTGTAGTACCATGTCGCCCTGTGACAATCGCGAGATGGTAGAACATATATATGACAAATAAATAGCTTCAACACTGTTAACAGAACCTTTTGTTGCGACTTTATTTTGCACAGTGAAGGTTACGAATGCCTCTGCGCTATCCAATTCGCACACCCCTACAAATAAAGTGAAAAAGAGGGGTCAATCTGGTAACCAGTTAGGCCAATCTGGTGACCAGTTTGGTCAATCTGGTTACCAGTTGGACCAGTTTGGCCAGTCTGGTGACCAGTTTGGTCAGTCTGGTTACCAGTTGGACCAGTTCGGCCAGTCTGGGGACCAGTTTGGCCAATCTGGTGACCAGTTTGGTCAATCTGGTTGCCAGTTCAGCCAGTGTGGTGACCAGTTAGGTCAATATGGTGACCAGTCAGGCCAATCTGGTGACCAGTTCGAAGGCAATCTGGTGACCAGTTAGATCAATATGGTTACCAGTTAGACCAGTCTGACTACCAGTTCCACCAGTTTGATTTCCAGTTAGACCAGTCTGACCAGTCCAAATACCAGTTTGACCAGTTTAAATACCAGTATCACCAGTTAGATTTTCAAACTGGTCTTTCCAATATCATCAAGAATTAAAATAAAAAACGACGTCGTCACCGGCAACATCAGCCCCTCACGCTAATCCACGAACTACACATGAAGCATCACCAATTGTTTGTTTTTTTGTTTTTATTTTTTAAGCACAGCTCTTAGCGGCATGTCTGACGCCAGACGTGATGTGGCGTGTGATGTCACGAGGGAAACATTTTCCCGCTAAATTTGGCGGAAAAATTTTACTCTCCTGACGTCACACGTTACGTCGAGTCTGAGGTTACACGTGACCCTCCACTCCATACCCTCCCCTCCTCCTCAAGAGCTGCGCTCTAATTCGTCATTACAGAGGATTGTAAACGTCTTTCATTTTATTTCATGTACGTAGTATCAATGCATTATTACTAGGCGTGGCCCCGCAGGCCTCAATTATACTGGCGAATTGTCTTTCTTAGGCGTATTGGATTTCTTGAGCTAAAATAGTTATGAATATTATTATCACTATCACAAAATCACGAAAAGAATGTTGTAGGGAGCTAAATCTTAATAGCCCACTTAGTGAAAGTTGGGAGTCTTTTCTCAATGCATTCATAACGTTTCGTGTAGAACTGACTTTTACGCTCACAGCGCTGTCTCTATCTCGCACAACTGCCACCAACCACACTTGGATAGTAAAAGAATTACACTAATTGAATTACTCAAATTTAAATATTTTTGTAGGTAATTTATAATTGTAATTTATTTCTTTTGATCAAATATATTTGTAATTGTAACTTAATTACATTTACAGAGCAGTAATTAAAAAGAACTTGAATTCAGATCAAAGTCACATACAGCAACACCGAAGCTCATTCTTCCCTTATTTGTTGATCGACCTTGCACATACTGCTGAACTGCTTTCAAAGCTGCAGCGCGAGCAAGCAAGGAGACCCGCATTGCACCTAGACCTTGGGCGGGCAAACGTCCACGACGCTAAATGGAATGGTTAAGCAAATGAGACTGGAAAGTCGGCACCGCCGCACTTCTAATTACTATTTCTCTTTTCTTCCCAAGAGACAAAAGAAACCCAAACCTTTCCCAGATTAGAAGAAATAATGCAATTCACAACAAAATAAAAGGCTGACTCCTTGAAAGTGAAATCAGGGATTTTTGTTGTCTGTCATAGTTATTTTTCAGAGTATGGCGAAGCTCTTCGGAGCTCGTCACTATGATTTGTGTCGCCGTAAACTGAACTGCAGTGATTCTACGGGCAACCACAGACAAAAGAGTGCTCCTCGAACCTCAGTTCTGCCCGTGCAATGCTGAAAATTATCGCTAGGCTCGTAAAGTTTGCGGCGGTCCATTAGCAGATGAAACCAATGACCACATCGGATTTTTTTTTTTTTTTTGTGTTTTCGTTTACTTTCATTTTCACTCATATTTTCAGTATTTTTGCAACCTGATTGGACGAGATTCGAAAACGTTACGAATCACGGCTCTAGACTTTGGGGCCCGGTTGAAAAGCGCTTCTATTTTTTTTTATATAAGACGCCTTTTCTTTTAGTTGAAGGTTAGTTGTCAGGCGCATTCGTGTGTAGCATCATCATAGAAAAAGAACGACTGCTCTAGCCTTCGTATGAAAAGTATTTGGAGCAGGCGAGCATGCTTACCTGCCCAAATGCGGCGAAAAAACATCGAGGTAAAGTGCAAACTCTGCGCGCCGTCCCTGAAGTTCAATTCAACGAACCGACAAGCAAGCTCCAACATGCGGGATCATCTTGAGGTAGAAAAAAAGAAATTTGCTCTTAAAAAAACACAGAAAAATTTCAGCTTTTTTACTTTGGTGACGAAGGAAGAGCAGCGGAGCTGTAGCTTTTGTTCTCGGCGGTGACTTTTCAGGCGAGCCAGCTGCACTTCTTTCGCGAGGGAATCTGAAGCGCTCGACGTACGCGACGGTTGCGGACCCATTCGCGCTTCTCCGTACGTCGCCGCTCCTTCCGCACCCGGAAGGAGCGGCGACTGCTCCATCCCCAGGAGTTTCGCGTTCAGCCCTTACAAGAAAAAAATCTGAGCCAGTCTGTAGACATCTTAACGATTTTTTAACATACCTGTCCACTTCCTATCTTATCGCCATATTCCTGCAAGGTTTCTACAGATTTCCTGTCAACAGGAGTCTACAGAGCACAGTCGTCAGAAATCCTGCAAACTGTCTGTCGCCAACGGTCGTTAAACTTTGCGTCGCCATATTCCCAGAGTTTCTACAGACCTGACGTGATAGACCATACACACTGAAAACATGACAAAATCGTTGACACGAGTCATAAGCAGTTTTCGTGTGTAGTACTCTACTGAAAAAAACATTCGGTACCTATATGAGAATAAACGGGTCCATACCAGTAACAGTTTAACCATAGCGGTCACCAGTTTGTCAAAGGGGTCGGCCGTGTGGCTCAAAGGGGTCCCCCGTATGAGCCATAATGTTCACCTGTTTGGACAAACAGGTCGCTCGTCGGGGCAAATGGGCGACTCGTTTGGGCAAAGTTGTCGCACGTTTGCTCAAACCGGTGACCATGTTGCACAAGCGGGTGACCGGTGACCGGGAAACTGTACCGGTTTAATCAAACGGCTCTCCGGAGCCCGTTTGATATTGAAGGTACAGATCGGGCGGCATGGGCACGCCTGTTTCCGCCGTGGCAGCCAATGTTTTCGGAAGGCTAGGAGCGCCGGTTCATCGATTTCAGATCGTCCGCGTAATGCAAGTAATTATTTTTATATTTCAATTGCGCTGATGTTCGCTTATACTCTAACTAAAAAATTTGTTTTACGTAAACGCGCGACGTTGGTGAGCCGATATTTTTGACCGAACTTTAAAACTTTATCCATCTTTGTTGCCTCAATTTACTTATTCAGCTCGAATCTCTCTCGCAGAAGACGTGACCGCGTGAAAAAACGTACTTCTAAACTCCGTTTCACTTCAATTCAAGACGCAGCAAGGGTAGCGCACGAACACGCGGCTGCAACAACATCGAGCATTGCGAGAGCACGCCCGCCGTTGCAGCAGTCGAACTACGCGCTCGCGCTGAGAACTTTCTTCGCTCGGGCGCAAGCCGAGCTTCTGGCCGCCCCGCCGCCATTTCCAACGTTCAAGCGTGCTAGAATTCGCGTGCGTCTGGTTTTCGAGGCTACAAAAACACGTCTCACTGGAATGCCTGGGGAGAGGGTTCGGTGCTGTCCCCACTGTCCCGGGGTCCCGGTGTCTTGCCCCTCCCACCGCGCCTCCTCCCTCCTCTCTTGCCACCTCTGTCACATGGCCCGCAGCAGAGCGCGAGCTACACGCTGATAAGCATCGAGATCCGGAAAGGCGCGCCTGCCGCGGCTTTTTCTTTGTCTGCTTGTTGTCAGTTGCAGTTCGAAATTCGCTCGTCCTACCTGCTTCGATCTGTCGCCTAACCCTGCGGTCTTATTAGGATGTCTCCCGACAACGTATTGGACGTGCACCAAAGGTATCAGTGTTCGAAAAGTCCTTCGCGCATATCGGCAA